ATTTAATTATCAAGATATTATTTTCAGGATTTGGTGACTATAGGTAGTATTTGTTTCTTCCAATCTGAAACTCAAAACTTAATTATTTAAAAGAGAATATTATATTATATTTATTGGCTCCTTTGACACAGGCAAAACTTTTCTTGAAACAAAGACGTCAAAAACTCATAACATATTTATTTGGTTTGACATAATGTCAAAGAAACTTATTGTTAGCAGCAATTATTTTACAATTTATATTGTAGTCTTACTGTAAATTAAATTAAGTTCTAAGATCTTGAGGTGTCTGAGAGGAATGTGTACAAAGCTATAAAGTATATGTTTTAGGTTCACATTATGTCATTATTGTATTAGATAAAACATAATAATATAATATTTATTTATTTATTTATTATAATCAACGCCAGACGGCTTTTACAAAATAACAGACAAGAAGTACATAGATAACAGTAAATAATATCACGTATTATTGGCTAATCGCAGGTACTACACTAGTTGGGACCCGAATTATTGTAGTTATTACACTAGTTATTGGGTCCTTAATAGTTAAAAAATGTATTACTCTATACTAAAATGTTCTTCCTATTTTAACAGACTTAGGGTATAGGACTGTTTTTGATCTATTTAGACCAAAGGTATGGTTAAAAATGTTTTCTTGCCATTTCCTTTTTTTAGTTTCTTTGCCATTAAAAATATAAAGTATTAGAATTTTACAAACTATGATATAACATAAAAATGGATACAATACTAATAATTAATGTTCTATACAATTTTGGCAAACAGAATTGATTTTTTTAAACAATATTTTATTTTTATTTATATAATATTAAATAAATGCATTTATTAATTATTATTAACTATTTATTATAATATTATGTACCTACATTTTATATATTTCAATTTTTAAAATTTTAAATATATTTTCATGGTTATGTACCTATTTATTTTGTATGACCTATATCATAATTTGTAAAATTCTAATAGTTAATGTTTCGAATGGCAAAGTAACTAAAAAATAACATTATTAACCACAACTTTGGTCTCAATAGATCATAGACAGTCCTAGTTGTTAAAAATTAAAATGGAAAGGAAAATGTTAGTATAGTGTACTATTACCAAAAAAATATTAAGGGCCCAACTAGTGTAGTACCTGAAAAAACTGGGACCCAAGTAGTGTAGTAAGAACCTGAAATAATCCTGGACCCGACTAGTGTAGCAGTTTTAAATTCGGAACCCAACTCGGATGCAGGCAATAATTATTGAAATGTACCTACTTCTTATCAAAATTTCCAATTATTTCTAAAATCACTATAGATAACTAGATTATAAATGTTTTTGATAAATAATTTAATATATTCAAAGTCTGGTTGAATTATTTAAGAATATATTATTTGTGCTACAAGGATATGTTTAATAATTTTTGGTATTATTCATGGGGGTATTTAGAATTTTAGTGACACTACCTAATAATCACTTATATTATAAGACACTAATATCATAAATTTCTTTTACATAAGTATTTTCGAAATTTAGTTTTTTTTTTTAGTTTAGTACCCGTTTAATATTTTGTTATTGCTTTTTCTTGATATTGTAAAACAGTTCCATAATTACGATAAAACCATACTTAATCAGTGTTAAAATATTCAAAAACTACAAAAATCGACGTTAACAGATTGTGGAAGTTAACTAAGAATATTTTGTTGATTGTGGACGAATGTTGATGATTGTAATATAGCTAAAATAGTTCATAAAATGGTTTCATCAAACGGTTAACAAATTACTAAAATATTATATGGGTAATGTATGTGTATTTTAATATTAACTAAACATTTCTGAAGCTAATTTTACCTGAATATTTTGGGTCCAGATTCTAGACATGTCACTCCCAAACAAGTGTCCCAACTAAATACTTTAATAATGAATATTTACTGTAATAATATGCAATAATATAATATTTTTTTATATAAAATTTAATAATTAATACGTTATAGAAAGAATACCTATCTATATTATTATTTTTGGATCAAACAAATCATTTCCTACAGCTCGTTTATTGTTTGGAAAGAAGAAGGATTAGTAAATATTGGTTAAACACTATTAGGTATGTAATATACTTTTAAGATTAAAACTTGTTTTAGAATAAAATAAAACCTCAAGGATGTAATTTTATTAAATTTTAAAATCAAACAAAAAAATGTCTTAGGTCATAATATTTATATTTCGATAAATTTTAAGCACTAAAATGTTATTTTATAACTGCAATAACATTTTGTCTGTGAACTTTAAAATATATTTGTGAATTTGTATTTTTCTTAATTTTTATAGTGACTTAAACTTGCACATGGTGAATGGCGCAGTGGAGTGGACACACCGGTTGCCAACTGGTACTGGTGTTAAGCTGCGTTCGTCGTTAATTGTTCCCGGATGGGTGACCGCCTGGGAACACCACTTGCATATTTTTTTTCAACCTTAATCATGGCATCATCTGAATGTCTAGATATAATATAAATCACGGTTGAAATTTGAAAAAAATAAATATATTGTAATATAAATACATTTGTTCCAGTGGTATTATTATTTTAATGAGTAAATTATTTATAATCGACTATAAATCTAAAACTATATATCCAATTTTTAAATAATTTAAATTTTAAATGTATTATATTTTAAATTCAGCGTGTACGTTCATATTTTTTTTTTTTTAGTCCTGAACATAATTAAACAAATAGTTTAATTAAGTTAATAAATGGTATTATGTGTCATGTTATATTATACTGGATTACTATAGTACCTACTATAGATACAATATAGTACATAGTCATTTCATTTTTTATTTGTGCAAATTTTGATTCTGATTAATCTACCATAACGATGAATATTCAATATTATAATAAATTAATGGGTTTTAATTGTTTTTATATTTATATTTTTCTGTGAATAATTTTTTGGGCAGGATATGTGTTCTAGGCTATTATAGCACATGTTACCAAGGTCGAAAAGCAAATCTTATGGGTACCTACTCTGATGAGGATATTTTCAACTATTTCTCAGTAGCTTTTATTAATGTATGCAACAAGCTACAAACGTTAAAAAAAATGTTAACAGACTGTATGAGCCAAGCTCCGTTTGGAATCGTTTTTCGAATGAGATTATGATACATTGTTTGCAAACAAATTCAATATCACATCATGTCATCATTAGGTATCGTGCTCAGAGTTGGACGAAGCGAGACGAGTGCGACTGTGCGACACAATTATCATGTTAGGCTATTGTTTTCTATAATTGATAAATGGTTCATACATTTAGTGGGTATATTATTTTTATAATTTCGTGAAATAAAAACTGTTGAAAAGTCACAAGTCACAAGTTTATAACTAAATATTTTGTTTAAAAAATATTGTGCATAATATTGTGTACATTGAATCGAATATTATTCTGCTATAAATAAAGTTATCCAATGTCATTGACACTATATACCAGATACCTATTATACCTATAGGATATTAGGTTTATGTGGTTATATCTATATGGTAACAAATACGAGGTATAGTAATAGCTTTTAAATATAATTTAAGTTGCTCTTCAAGTTTAATTTTAGAAGACATCTCATATTCTGACATCATGATTACATTATGTAAGCAGTTCCTGTTGAAAAATGAAAAAGACTTCCGCGTACTTTCGATTTTTCCTTGAACCCGTTGAAAGGAAACTGCACATGCTGTTGGCCGTGACGAAGATAAGTCGAGAATGGGCCACGTAATCGATATTTTCATTTATATATTTACACACATTATATACGCATTATAAAAACACGCTAAATATACTTACATGTAATATACCTGACAAAGAAATGACTGTCAAGTGACACGCGATAGTGTAGAAAATGCCAAAATCTCAAATATCTTAAAAAAATAAATTATTCCAAATTACGATAAGAATATTAGAATTGTTAATGCTTTAGACAATTATTATTGCTCGTTAGGATGTTATGGTAAATGCGCTATTATTAATATAAGATTACTGGTAATTTTTTTATATTTTATCCGAAGCCATTGAAAATGTATATTTAATATAAAATACAATAAACGAAAGATATTGTAGCTATTTTTCAGCTAATGAGTAATGACAATATTCTCACTTAGATATTAAAAAATACATATACTTACATAAAAGTGTATTGTTAACTCAGTATAGATTCGATTTGCATAGCATTTTGCAAAGTTAAGTAAACAATTAACCGAGTGTTTTGTTTCGAGTAAATTCTGTAAGACTTTCTAAAATATTCTAAGAGTGACCCACATCATAAAATATATTAACAATGTGAACATAGTACGATTGCTATAATAAATATAAATTATAAACACAATATTTGTACTACACAGCTACATTTTTGACAGCGATTCGTTTAATATATTATCATAAGAGGAAAGAGTGGCCGAGCGGACTAAGGCGTCGGTTGCGACGCAGCCGACGCTGGTTCGATATCTCGGCGATGGGTGGCATTTTTCTTCGTTCAAGTCACGGTGTCCAGAGAACAAGTGCCGCCATCCCCCACCCGGGTATGGCAGATACCTATGGGTGCCCAAATCAAAAATTCTGCCAAACAAACACACAAGCATCCTCCCCCTAACAACAAAAACCTACAAACAAAACTAAAAAATGCTAATGGCCTTAGTTGCCGGGCTCAAGATCAATAATAAAAAAAAAAAAATATTAACATAAAACATTATATGTACAATTATAATTATTTTGTTTTAAAAATTAATAAATAGTAATTGTTAAATAATTCTTTATTTGTTTTTGGTTTTGTAAAAAATAAATAGTAATATAAATCATGTTTTAAATATAGTTACTTTAAATTTTGTTTGAACAGAATCGTTAATATTTGTGTTTAGTCTACATTTAATATTTAAATGTTGCTCAAACACGAATAACACTTAGAGTCTTAGACAACACATTTTGTGTGTTAATTTAATATATTATTTACCTTTCTGTTACAGAATCTAAAAAACCAAATTATGACGACGAACTTATGGGTGGAACAGGTGAGGATAAAATAACTCATAGTATTATATTATCCAGCAAATAAATTTTAAAAAAACCATTAAAACGAAAAAATTAAATTACATCATTATTATTTAGATCCTGAATTTATTGCTTTTAAAAAATCAGTATTATTTTTTATTCATTTTTTGAGATCACTAAAACATTTAAGAACTTGAAGTACTTGGTAAATATAACTTGACTACATTTGAATACAAGGTTTCTCGTGGTGTCGTATTTATAAACTTATAAGTGGGTTATATTCAATACATTCGGAAAGTCTACTTCATACTTGTGAGTTATTTTTATGAGCACTTGACATTTTAAAATCTTTTTAGGAAGTCTATATTACACCGTGCTTTGCCCAAAACCGTTTTTCGAGTGCAATGATTTATCATTGCTTTTAAATTTAAAAACACCCGCTCTCGAGGACCATATAATCCCTGTTCTAGACGTGATTCCTATAAAGTAATAAGTTTGATGTAAATTTAAATTTACTAATTTTACAATATCTGTCACTACATTAATAATATTTACTTCGATGAAGTTTATAAATATCATTATTTCATAATGAGTAATGACACGACAAGGACAATCTCACATCATATCCTCTTCTCAGTAAACTATTTATAAACCATACACAATTTACATTGTATTTTTTTTTATACATATATTAAAATTAAACTATAACAGTTCATACAGAGCCCAATAACCACTGACCAATGTACAATTATTACCATAGGTTTTGTATAAAAACGTTTCTTCTTCTTCTTGAGCTTTTACGGTCCTTGAAGGACTTTGGCTACCTCTAGTACGTACCTTCTCTATCTCCAGCCAAACTGTGTTCTATTGATACTCCCTGTGCGCACTTGTTTAGATTATCGTTGGCCCTGTCTGCCCAGCGTTGTCCAGGGCGACCCCTAGGTCTTTTCCCATTGATCTTTACTACCAGAGCTTTCTCTAAAGTCCCATTTGATCTGCATACATGGCCGACCAACTCGATACGTTTGCTCATGAGGTACGCATTGATATCGGGTTTTTGGTCAATTTGTTTTACTTCACAATTTGTTCTTCTTCTGTACACTTAAGTTTCTAAAATAGATCCACATATCCTTCTAAGCACTCTTCTTTCAAAGCAAATCAATTTTTCCTCATATCATTTAGTGGTCCACCATGTTTCACAAGCGTATGTTAAAACTGGCCGGAGGTAACTTGAGTACATGCGTTCCTCCGAACTTGTATTAAAATGTTAACGATTTAAAAAAAAATGTATATCCAATAGTTAATTTATTGCATTAAATATATAATATAGTACCTATGTACACTTGGCACACTTTATAATGTTTATTAATCTTATTAATATTAATCGGATGTTTATTTTATTTTTCAAGTATTGGTATGACTATAAGTTGACGTGGAATCCTGAGGAATACGGTGGTGTCGAAGGGTTACACGTACCGTCTGAACACGTCTGGAGGCCAGATATTGTTCTTTATAACAAGTAATTGTTTCTACAAATATATTAATAGTAACCACATTAACTATGTTTATATGATTAACTCTGCATGTTGTATTTGTTCAAAGTGCTGACGGCAATTTCGAAGTAACTTTGGCCACTAAGGCTATGCTCCACTATAGTGGTCGGGTCGAGTGGAAACCTCCAGCTATTTACAAGTCTTCCTGTGAAATAGATGTAGAATTTTTCCCGTTTGATGAACAGACGTGTGTGATGAAATTTGGCTCATGGACCTACGACGGTTTTCAGGTAATAAACCGTATACCTAGTTATTTTATTTTTTTAACTACGGTAACCGAATGATAATAAGAAACACTAAACAGTCAGATAGATAAGTACATTGTTTTTCCCCAGTGATTTTAAAAATTATTATAATGCGCTTTATTTGCATTCGATTTTATGTAAAATAAATAATACTACGTTATTTTATGTAGCCTCTTAAAATCATACGCAATATGTGCATGGCCATTATTATCATGTTGAAAATTATCACTAGGTACTTACCTATCTACTTTTAGGGGTACAATATTTTAAACTATAAACAGTTATATACTTTACCTACATAAATTAAATTATTAAAGACTGCCATTTTGTTTGAAATTTCTTTGAATTAAGAAAACGTTTAAGTCACGTGATACAATCGGACGATGGCCACGGGCAAATAAAAGTGTCAGGTATTTTCCCCGCACAATATGTAGTTATTTTTATAGCCGTCCATCTACTTCATGAAGGGTTGGTGCATAGTGCGGTTTTACGCAATTTCCTGAAAACTTGATTGCCTCTAAACTTTAGCCTTTCCAAATACCAGTGTTGAAAATGTTAAGACGGTAAAGAGGTACGAGGAAAGTTCGTTAATTACCTACTTACGTATAGCACAGATGTTTTGATCGTAAAGTTCTTGTTCCATATCAACGGTTCTAAGGTTTAATACTTTAATCACTCGTCTATGAATCAATAAAACATAAATCGAATGAAACTTACAAATTTATACTATTTTACGGACACCAAGAGCACAACGATTTCCACAAGAATTATTTATGTAGGTACCATATTATACGCATATTAAAAATGCATACTGAACATAATAATAATAATAATAATAATAACGGGGGACGGAGTGGCCGACTGGTCTAAGGCGTCGGTTTCGACGCCGCCGACGCTGGTTCGATTCCTTGGTCACGGGCGGGATTTTTCTTCGGGCAAGTCACGGTGTCCAGAGAACAAGTGCCGCCATCCCCCAACCGGGCATGGCAGATACCTACGGGTGCCCAATCAAAAATTCTGCCAAACACAAGCACTCACGTGTAAAAACCCACCATTTCAAAACCCTACCACCACCACAATACAATCCTACTAACAGCTAATGGCCATAGATGCCGGGCTTAAGGATCAATAAAAAATAATAATAATAATAATAATTTGTAATTCTTCCTAATAATTTTTATACCTACAGTCTTGTACATAACATTTTATTTTTTAATTTGAGGAAAAATAAATACTACTGTTCATAAAAGCCGATAACATTGATAACAAATATAATTCTCAATTAATTTGAGTGATTTGCAGATGTTTAGGTAAAGAGCTACTTAATTAGTAATAACTGTAAATTTTTTTTAGGCTTAATGTATGTACGACTGTACGAGTACACCGTAAATCGTAAATATTAATAAGTAGATAATAAAACAAGAAAAAAGTCAAATTATATATTATTGGATCTGGATAGCACACTATTTGTAGAAAGTGTTTCAACGCTTACTGTATAATTTGAGTTATTCGAAAACATTTAAAAAATGATATTTTTTAAATAATTGTTAGTTTTTCGAATAATTAAATTATGACTTTATAAGGCAGCGTCCAATCCTTGTTTTGATAAACTTTTATTATATTGGATAAGAGTAGATTAATTTATTTATACCGTACAAAGTATCCCCGATCGATTTTTATTAATTTATATTCACCCTACAAAATGTCAGCGGTAGGTATGCAACTCAAACAATAGAGAGTACTAAGTGTCCGTTTACCAGATTAATTAAAATCAGCCCAATACTCAAAAGTTAGAATCAGTTTAGGGTTTAACAGTTAAACGATAACTATTCCTTAAATTAATAATAACATTTTTAGTGTATTAATGCCGATTAAGATTAGTTATTTCAATATTTACCTGTAATGTACCATAATATTATACTATAGGTACCTACTGGCTACTAATATTGTTTCATTTTATACACTGCAAATATTATAGTGGTACCTAGATAACATTTAACTATATTGAGTACGATTAATTTGTGGAAGAACTTTGGTTTATTAGTATGCTTTGGTGGTAAATTCATATTATGTACATTTATCTTTTTGACTCCAACTATTTTCAACTTACTAATAGCACTATATAACTCACAAATCTAGTCAAGCTACTTCCGGGTATAAAAGTAGTAAAAAAAAGTATATAAAAATAATTATTTAAAAAATAATTTCACCAATGCTTACATATAAAATATGGATTCCTTTAAACTATTAATTGTGATAACTGATAAGTAGTGTTAACTCGCTTCTGTGGCTAAAACGCAACTGCACTTGAAATTTTTAGATAAATTAGTACACAATTAGTTAAAATATTAGGTACCTAATAAATATATGGGTAACAGCCTCCGGTCATATATCTTATAATTATTTTTCCACATTATTATACACATTGTTTTTTATATTTTTAATAAAAAAACAAAATTATAATTTAGTATTATATAATAAATATTAAATACCCACCTAGTTAAACTTTAGGAAAGTTAGATTTGAATAGAGTAATCAAGCCAAACTCTATCCTAATATATTTACCAAACAATTTCAACAAAATTTTTTTTAAAGTAACATTAAACATACCTATTATTATAGATGAATCTTTCATTGTTGCATAATTCGGACATCAGTTAAAGTTGACAACAATTTGCTAATGGCATGTTTTGAACTACTATAATGGACAGCGTAGTTTGAAATTAGTTCTGTGTTGTAACAACAGACAATTTTATAAAGATAAATGTAGGCATTTTATTTGTTTTAAAAATAATATAGTTATTGAACTGCATTACGGTTCGATATTCTCAAAAGTACTTCCCTACTATTATATATTTATATTATTAAATTATTTGTATACTATGGTCTATTAGTTATAACAAGGAACATATTATTATTTATATCAAGACGAACGGTTTGAATATTAAAAATACGTAAGCATAAATTGCATAAGTGCTCCAAAAGTAGGAATAAATTACTATTACATTAGTGTAGGATGATTATACTTTATGATTAATCGGTTTATACCATTTGATAATAATAAAACACTTAAAACCAATATAGGTCTACATATTACAGTAATTACTAATTAGTAGGAACATAATATTATGTAATCATAAGTAATTTACTTTATTCTAAGATTTATGTTGAGTTATTTAATTCGAATCAGTAAAATATACCGATTAACACTAAACAGAACCGCTAAAACAAAAACTCCAAAAAATTGAAAACCAAACCAAGAAACTGTTGAATACAAAAATGTTTTAATTCCCTTTCATGAGTTATCTGTCCCACTTATTATTGCTTTCCCCTGTAATGTACACACATTTCTCATAAAACTTTTCTGTGGAAAAATTGAAAGGTGCCCAAATATTATTCGTCCACTTCGAAACGAGGAAAAAGCACTTAGTTTTATTGCTTTTCTTTTCGTTTTCCTGCTCGTGTGGCTTAGTAGCTTAGATATTTGACCAAAGAAAACTTAATATTATACTAACAAGTTCAATAAGTCAAAGGGGATGTTTTAGTGTTTTCAAACAAAAGCTACAATACGAATTAAACCCCAGAAGGGTTTTCTTTTTCATGGTGAGCCGATAATTTTCAAACTTCGTGTGCAACTGACGTCCAAATCGATTGCGTAAGCTTAATCTTGTATTTAAGAATGTACCTACAACACCCAGCGTTTAATAAAATAATACAATGTGTGTACTCGACACAGTCCATAGTATTTATTTGAATACATTTCATTTTCATGTTTTAGACTAATCATATTCAGCTTTTTTTTTCAAAAGTTTAAATTGCTTCTTATGTACCTATAAACTATTTGATTATTTATTCGGATAGCATTAAATAATTATGTTATTAAAAAAGCATGGTCATGTTTAACAGAACCATTTTATTATTTTATTTTCAAAAGACTTAGACATCATTAATAAAGAATATTTATATTGTATATTTTTAATATGTAGCCACGTAGAATGCATATTTTGTTTACAACTCATACTGCGAGCCACCAAGTAAATAAACTGAAATCCTTTTATATGATATAAGTTAAATTTTTTAGTTGACATAAAAATGTTTGTTATTAATATTATAAAACGTTCTCGGTACAACATTTTTAATTTTTATGGCATTTTCTATAGCTAATACATTTATAACATTTTTTGGCTCAACAACTGTATAAAATACACCGCAATATATAACCTAACCAAGGTTTTGGAATCTCTGTAAACTGTGTAATATGTTACGAGAAAAAGAAATTAAACTTATCTTCTTATTTGAAAACATTGGGAAGCGATTTTAAAGTTAAACTACTGAAATTCTAAAAATAAAAGATAAAAGTAATTTATTATAAGTGTGTCTCTGAGATTTTTATTTTTATTTTATATATTATTAGGTATATCCATAGAATATAAAGTAATATTGTACTTAGTATATCTTATTTCAATAACATTTTGATTCATTAACACATTTATACAATATTGCAAGCGTGAAAAGTGAAAACAAAAACAATATGTTTTAAAAATAAAATAATACTATGGATATAATAAAATAGTAGCGGTACTGCTGTATTATAATATTATGATCTCCTGCGTTTCTCTCTCGTCAATCGTCATTGTCGCCGACTCTCGCCATTCGGTTACCTTCAATGGCGTGGCAAGTAAAAAAATTGCCGGAATTTATTATTTAATTTTAGCATCAAAACCGTCACCCTATAATTGCTAGTAGGTGCACAAACAAAAAAAGGTACTCAACGGCGACTACTTCTCAATACTCTCTTCTCCACACCAATGATATACTACATTTCTGTAGTACCTATAATATAGTCTATACTTAATAAATTATCTTATATCATCAGTATAATATTATCAAATTACTCATTAATATCGCGGGTTATCTGTTTGTGATTACCGTTAGAGCCGAGCCGCAATGTTAATATTATGCAAAATCTATTATTACAATTTATAATAATGAAAAAAAAGTGCACTCGTTTTTAACAACACTTACCTATAATATTGGTTATTTTTTAATGGAAAACTAAAATAATATAAACTTACAAGACTAATGATTTTCTAATGCGCGATGGTTATAATATTGTAGTGTTAAAGTTTAAAATAAAATGATTATGTTATCAAAACGACGAGTCTATAATAAAATCTGATCTACGAAATTCACAGTTTTTAACTTTTAGTCGTTATATTATTTAAAAGTTTAATATGTACCATTTATTCATTAGAATAGTGTAAAAACATAGTATTATGAATCATTATAATATACCTATATGATATCGATATTTTGTTTATACGATTTATTACCGCACATTTAATTAATACGTACCTGCTTAACTATTGACGATTAAATTATGTATTATTAGTAATTTCCATAATTAAATTATCGAATAATTTTATAACCTCATATTAAAATGTTTTCATATACTAATACCAATTATTACCTGTAGACTGTGGTTGAAATTATTTCCCATGCGATGTAGGGACAATACGGTACAGCGTACACATTATGTATTTTGGTGAGGGTTATGCGAATACTTTGTATTAGCTGTTATAAAGGCTGCCATAATTTTGGTTATAAATTTTAACGCAGCCCATGCTAGAAAGAGAGAAAACGAACGGTTCGATAAAAGGGCTGTTTCTCCCCCGTTTGTCCTTCCTTCTTGTTTCACCCCTCTGCACTATTCATTTACCCCACAGCACCTTCTACAGGATATCCTTTTGAATCCCACTTCCAACCAAGGTATACACGCACGTAGTGAGTTTTATACATCCGATACGTTCAAAACAGATAAAAATAAACAAAATCGGACACTTTCTAGCTCGTTTTCTCTCCTGTTTTTCTCCTATTTTTCTCATCGTTTCTTTGGGTCTCCTCCAAAAAGGATTACGTTTTTTTATCCGTGTATAAGTTTCACCACCACCGTGACAGCATCACTGCCACCACTACTACTATACATATTTAGCAGTTTTCTACTTTAGAATCGATTATTATGTAATGACGGAAAACATACATTTATGCTTATAGAGTTATAACATGTATTGAGGATTTTTTTAATTCCATTTTTCAATATTCCAAACATGAAATAACTAACTATTGATCATATTTAAATTACCTAATTAATATTTAGTAAACACTAATCATTTTTATGTAATATATTTTTATTTTTTATTTTTACAAGAAATATACAATCTATACATATTATGCATAATAAGTATATTTGAGATTAGAAAAAAAAACATTATGAGGTTAAGTGAATAAAGAGCCACCCATTAGTAGCATTTAGTTTAGAAGTTGCGTTGTTATCGGCTTAAGTTAAATGATCTCTACAACATTTTCTTTTAAGTCTAAGACGGGGATTTCCAGGAAGTGACGGGATATGTAATCTTTTTATTAAAGGATTTTTATGGTTTTCTAATTTAATATAAAAACGTTTATAGAAAACAGCAGCTTCTTCTTCTACTGTTTTTACGCCTAGGTCTTTGTGTAGGGTCAGGTTTGAGATATAGGGTGGAGCTTTGGTGATTTTTCGAAGTGTAATATTTTGGAATGCCTGAATTTTATTTAAATTTTATTTTTCGCAGAACCCCATAGTTGGATTCCATACGTCCATATGGGTTTTAGAAGAGATTTATATATTTGTAATTTAGTTTTTTGGGTTGAGAGCTTATTTTTTGAGAGTAATACTTTTATAGATCGGGAGCGGGCATTAAGTATTAATCTTTTTTTTTTTATATGATTTTGCCAAGTTAGCCTTTTTTCGAGGTTTAGACCTAAGTATTTAACAGTATCAAGAGAAGGGATAGGTAGATTATTAACAGTTATGTTAGGGCACAGTCCGTGTCTTAGGGTGAACGTAACATGAATGGATTTATTACTGTTTAGTTTAATTCGCCATTTCGTGTACCATTTAGAGAGTAGGTTTAGATGAGATTGTAGATTTTTCGAAGCAATCACTGGATCATTGAGTACTGATAAAATGACTTTGTCGTCTGCATAATCAGCAACAATAGTATTTGGTGAAGAAGGTTGATCAGCAGCATAAACATTAAATAATATAGGAGAAACAACACCTCCTTGAAGAACTCCAGCACCAATTAAGGCTATATTTGAAGTGGAGGAACTATTATTTGGAAATAAGTAAGATATGATTCCATTAGTAGATATAGTGTAGGAGGAAGAAATGTACGGAGTTTGAAGAGAAGACCATCATGCCAGACTCTGTGAAAAGCCTGGGGGATGTCTAAAAAGGCGCAAGTACAGTAGCATTTATTTTCAAGTGAGGTAGAGACTGCATCAGCTATTCTATGGACCTGGTGTATCATACTGTTCTTGGCTCTAAAACCAAATTGTGAAGATGGAAGAACCGAAGAACATTGTTAATGTATAATAAATACGTTTGAGGATGAGTCTTTCGCAAATTTTTGAAAAGTATGGCAATAGACTTATAGGCCTATAAGATGTTGGGAGGTCAAGAGGTTTATCCGGTTTAGCAAACATTATTATTTGTGAAAACTTCTAGAGACATTTAATCTCAGAACAAGATGACAAAATGTTTACCATAAAAAGGTAGATGTTTTTACCATCTTGTGTTATCGTACAATTTATAATAAACTAAATATGACATAAGCTATATAGGCTATAGGATGTATAGTTTAATATATATATGTATACGTATAGGTAGGTAATATAGATAATTTAATGTTTTTTTTGTTCAAAGGTCATCAAATTTAAGAAACAAAACCTTTTATAAAAAAACTTTCCATGTTTTGGGATCAGTATTGTGGTCTTAATTCAAGAACAATTTTATAATTTTATTTTTAGTACCCATTTTATATCCAAAGTGGAGCGGGGATGCATTTCATACCGATTTTTGTGATTTTTCTAAGTAATATTTTTTGGGATAGTAAAAGTGTTCTTAAAGTTTCAAATAGCTCTAGTATCGATTGGCGAGTGCAGGAGGTCACAAAGTGGTCATTTTTTATATATTATTTATATATATTCAATAGTTTTCGAGACAGTTGGGGGAAATTTTATAAAAATACAATCCTGTATGCTTTTTTTGTAAGTCGTATTTAATCGGTTTTTATCTGGAAATACATTTCATAAATAATGATACATATAACATATTATGTATGTATATAACTATACAAACGAATAATCGATTATCTTCAATTCGTTGATAGCAATTTATTACAAAGAACACTTCCAAATAAAACAAAATCTGTTATTATTTTTATCAATAACTATAAGTATTAAATGTTAAAATCGTAACGCGTGCTTAATATAATTTATCAATATAAAGTAAAGATTTCAAGGTGAAATCTTATGTTTTCTAATGATAATCGTTTTGTGTCTGTGTCGATAGACAGATACACCAAATCAGAGCATCGGCGTTGGAATGTCTTAAATTAAAAAAAAAATGTAAATAAATAATTATGATAGTAAAATTACTAAATAACAAGTTTAATCATTGTTTTAAAAAGTTTATGGTAACCAATTTATCATGGCTATAAAAGTGTGTAGGCTGATGCACTCATTGATATTAATATTTTTTCAAATTTTTTATTCATATTCCTAAATAAAGTATACAATATAAATTCAAATTTTTTTTCAACCAATGTCATCAAAATAACATGATACAAATGTACTATATTCGAAAAATAAAAGTTTCTGTGAGTAAAAAAAAAAAAAGTTTACAATGATACAATTCATGTGCATTTGCACCACTAAAACAAAAATCAAGAACATCGTAGAAGTACTGAAAAAATAATGGAAACATGAATTTAAATTTACAGATAAAAACAATGAGTATTGTATTAGAGTATTGTATACCTACAATGTAGGTATAAAATGTATCTATTACAGAATTGATTTACGTCCCTTTATCAACTTAAACCATTTTAAAATGTAATTTAACCATTTTATTATATAATAATAATAATAATAATAATAATAATAATAATAATAATAATAAATAATAATAAAATAATAATAAAATAATAATAATAATAATAATAATAATAATAATAATAATAATAATAATAATAATAATAATAATAATAATAATAATAATAATAATAATAATAATAATAATAATAATAGTAATAATAGTAATAATAATAATAATATTAATAATACATTTAAATTAAAAAAATTAAAAATAGTTTTATAGCTGATATTATTTGTCTGTCATATAGACAACTATTAGATACTATATAATTGTTACAGCAAAAAATGTTGATGGCTTATAAAATACATTTTGAGAAAAATATGCAAAACCAACGAGTATCCACACTGCATGCAGATGCATCGGTGCATGCATATTATAGTATATATCTTATGGCTACTGATTTATTTACCACGACAGTAAGGTATTAATATAATAAATTATGAGAAGTTATGAGCTAATACCAATAACTACCAATAATTCCGATTACCGACATTCCTGAGCAAATATCAACAGTATAAACCCATAATGGTTTTATTAATTAATTTATATATTTTATTTACACCTACTGAAAAACAAAGCGCCGCTCTGCCGTTCCAATGTAACTTGCAAAGACGGTATAGAAATGGTGTCCTGGCCAGGGTGAAGAGTAGAACCGGTTTCGTTCATGACGTCAAGGTAACACTCTCCATGTCGCACAAAATTATAGAAGACCCCCAGCCATAAGACATATATGTATATTATCATTATGTCAAAAACAACAAATTTTGGCAGTATTAGACTACCGCCAGAGCTTACCTAAAGGTGACAGGTGGCCCTACGACGACGAGTAACAGCACACGTGTCTTGCAATATTAAATGTGAAAGTGTCTAAATAAATACAATATTATATACATTTATTACCTACTAATTTTATTCGTTTATATTTTATTATTTAATTAAATATAACTAAGGGGCATTACCCACAGCTCGCTGCATACCCCTCTTTTAATTTTGACTTTGTAAGAAAGTGGATGTACAACTGAATCACACCATGCGAATCATCTCAGGAACTGTAAGATCCACACAGACGGAATGGCTTCCGGTCCTATCAAATATAGCCCCTTCCGACCTCCGGAGGTTATCTCATACCTCAAAAACCATCTTAAAACTGAGCACCTTTCAAAACTTGCCCCTACAAAAGGATATTTTGGAACATCCTCCAATAAGGCTAAGCTCAAGGTACCCTATCTGGCGTAATAAAGTACCCGAAGAGCCCATAGAAGGGCTATGGAAAAAGCGATGGGGCATAGCAGAAACTCGTAACAAAACTCTTGTAACTGACCCAACTATAAAAGTACCTGGTTGGGATCTTACACGGGCCCAATGGACAACTCTCAACCGCATCAGGGTGGAGCAGGGAAGATGCAATTACTTACTCCATAAATGGGGAATGTCCGACTCTCAACTATGCTAATGCGGCGATAAACAAAATATCAATCACATTGTCCAGACATGTCCTAACACGAAGTTTGAAGGAGGATTAGCCAAATTGCACGAGGGCAGCCCGGCAGCCGCCAAATGGTGCGATGAACTCACTATACGTTTGTGATCGTTCCTACTTGTTACCCATTCACTATAGTTACCATTGTTTATGTTGTTACCATTATTATCACCACTATTATTTATTTACCTTTTAATTATTTTGATTATTTTGACTATTGTTTTGTTGTTACATATTTTATTCTTTATGCTTTATTTATTTTACTAGCTATTTTATATTGTAATTAAAGCTACTACTTGAATTTATTGATAAGCCGAAAGTGTCATATGCATAAAATAAATAAATAAATAAATTTTGACTGTAATTTTTATCATAGATAAATTAAATGTTTTATCTTTCGAATGTATTTTTGTATTATTAGTGTTCAAGAATATTCTTGGCGAAGCTGAAAAAATAAAATGCAGTTTGAGAGAATGTCACATAAAATGTTGTCCTTGTGTAAATACTGTTTCATTGCACGTTCCAAATAATAATAGTAAATAATGGATATTATATAGGTATAAAAAAAAATCTGGTAAGTGGATGTCACTCTGCTGTACAGTAGGTTATAAGTGGGTCATTGTATAATGGATTGTATTAAACTTGAATTCAATGATATAATATCATTGTACAAGAAAAACGATTCTGAGCAGAGACGGTTTGTCAGTCTGGATATTTTATATGGTCATTATTTATTATATCATGTAAGTTGAATTAATATTATAATATATTATAATTTTTTATTCGTTTCTATAGTGATAAACAAAGCATTAGAAATTGAAATCCCATTTTTAGAGGTTTTTCGTAATTTTTCGGTGGTTTTTCCCGTGGCATTAAATAACTCTTGATAAAATCGAAAAATGACTTCTCTAAAGTAACATCTTGATCCAATTTGCTAAAAGATATGTTGAAATGGAAGCACTACTTCTGGTAGAAATTTTGTATACAGGATAAAAAAAAAAAAATTTATAAACACCATTGTAAAACCACTAGCTTCCTCGCTCCTCTCAAAATCTAAAAATCTAGTAAATAAATGTTTCAATACCTACTCATAACTTTAATTGGTTTTAAATCTTTATTTTTCCATAGAAATTATATAATCTATGAAATATTAAAGTTGCAATACTTTTTGTATAATAAAATACGCTCAGGTCTCACTTGTATTTATGTTTTAAGCGCCAAAAGAAATTATAATTATGATTGGTACACTATATAGGTAATAAAAATAAATAATATATTTTCCTGTAATTTATATTATTTTTGTTTGTTCTATAAATATTGTTATTATAAACCGCCGAACATTTGGTAATAAATAGCTTCATAGCTGTTATATAATAAAAGATAAAACTAACTGCTAACATTTTATGTTAATTTTTAATTATCATTTATTTATCATTTCCGTAAATAAATAATAATGTTAATTTTGAACGGAAAAAACCCGTTGTGGAACACTGGATACTGTTTATCTCGAAGGAAGACGGAGGAAGTCTTGTCGTTGCGACGGCAATCATGGCTTATCAATATCTCAGCCGGTTAATTTATTAATCGCTTGTTCGTGTTCTGTTTCACACCCACCCTTTCGGCCCATTTCGACACACACACACATACACACACACAAAATATTATTTGTTATTATTATACGGACTGAAAGTAAATACCTGAAAAATATATTAAAATGCTTTAAAAAAATACATTCATGGCATAAAAATAAGACTATAAAAGTTCAGTTAAAAAATAAATGAATTATCTAAAAACACATAAAAACAAAGATACCATTAAAGTTGTAAAATTGTTAGAATTTCTTAAGATAATAATTAAAAAAAATGTAATTTAAATTATAATTTATAAACATAGAGGTATGTATATAATATAAAAAGTGGATAAGTGGATGTCGCTATTTTGTACAGTAGGTTACAAGTGGGTCAATGTATAAAGGACAGGAGCTGTTCTAGGACTACTATAATTAGGTTTTAACTGCGAATAATATTCCTCATTCCTCTCCTTTCCCAAAAAAGGGGCAACAGACATTTTGGTATGGGCACTGGGCAGCTGCCCACCCTGCCCATACTCTAGAACCGCCAATGATAAAGGATTGTATTAAACTTGAATTCATATCCAATGATATAATATCATTGTATAAGAAAAACGATTCTGAGCGTTTGTCAGTCTGGATATTGTTATTATTTATTATATCCTGTAAATTGAATCTATATTATAATAGGTATTACTATTTTTTATTCGTTTCTATGATGATAAACAAAGCGTTAGAAATTAAAATCCCATTTTTAGCGGTTTTTCGTAATTTGTCGGTGGTTTTTCCTGTGGCATTAAATAACTATTGAGAAAATCGAAAATTGATCTTTCTAAAGTACCTACCATATTGATTGAATTTGCTGAAAGATAAGATACTCTATGTTGAAATCGAAGCACTCCTTCTGGTAGATATTTTTTATACAGGATATATATAAAAAAAATAAACACCATTGTAAAACCACTAGTGTCCTTGCTCCGCTTAGAATCTAAAATTATGACGATAAATATGATGCAATAGCAGAGACAACCTTTTTTTTTATTCTGTCTCGAGCCAGATATCTCTAGAATGTTTGAAGTTGAATGGTAGTGATTTGTAAGTTACCTATGTATTATTTATTTGGTTAAAATGACTTTGGTCTGGATCTACATCTTGATGCTGTAGTTGATCTTAGGATAAAATTTTTTATGTTTTCGAATTATGAGGTAAAAACTTTTTTTTTTATATTAAATTTAATTTTGATATTTATAATGGAGGTAAAGAATATTTTATGAATTCTGTATTGTATTAATTATATTATAGTATAATATACAACTACATATATTACTATATATTGGGTTGGTACTCATCATACTAAGGTAATTTATATAAAATATATTTTAGATAATTCTTTAGAGTATCATGTAT